GTTAAGCTTGATAGAAAATCATGATTTCCATCCTCGTTTGTTCACAAAGCCAAATCCATCCAATATTCTTGTCAATTACAAGGCTGAATTTATGAAGCAATTTAATCAAACGAGATGCACAATGCTAATAAGTTATCTTTGATTGTTCTCTAAACTAGCACATGAGTTACCTCTACAAAAGAAACCCACCAAACCTAATACGGTTGACAAATTACCTTGATGTCTATATCTCTAATCAAATGAAGGCATTCATTAAAAATTAAAAAAAAAAAAGCGAAAGCAAAAGCAAAAGAAAAGGAAAAAGCAAAAAGTTGACAAAGTTTCCTCCAATGTCGACATTACCTTTTCTCATTTGATTCTTTGCTAAATAATTGCTAATAAGAAGGATGAGAGTAGATAATATCTTTGCAAAATATGGAAAAACTTCTTATTCTCTCAACCATATTTTCACAAATCATGCATTCACATCACTTGCATACATATTCTTAAAAAAATAATAATAAATAATAAATAGTATTCATATCATGGTTAGATTATGAAAATTTAAGTATTATGCATTGTGCATTCATAATCACATTCCATTGTCAAAACAAAAATTAGTATCATGCATACATGTTGCATTCTAGCTTTCAATAGGCATATACGTTATTGCATCATACATTGAAGATCAAATTAATTAGTTAAGCTAAATAAAAAAACAGATCATATGTTGTCACACATTGTGAAGTGCTAAAAATAAATTCAAAATAAAATGGAACATCATTCATGACATTGGGGCAATACATATTTGTAGATGCACCCATCCATCATAAGATAGTTGCCTCAGAGATCGCGCAGCAGCTTCTCGTGGAGCCTCCTGCATATCTCTTTAGCTTTTCCTCGGCCTTTAGAGTTAGAGCTAGTTGGTAGGCCACACTCAATTGTCAGTGACAGGGTACCCGATTTTCGTTAGCTATTTCTGGCAGGAGCTCTTTCGTTTAAAGGGGCGCAATTTAATATGAGTACAACTTTCCACCGCCTTCATTCCTATCCCATCCTTTATGATCTCTGGGCATTAACTTCTTAAGTCGCTGCGGCCGTTTCTAAGACCGACCAACGCCTCACCTGCATAGGTACATACATAGTGTAGTGTCGGTTGCCAGGATGAATAGTTTGGACTAACCTCTCGATCAGATGTCAAACTCCCGCTACGATAAGTACTGCATACTGCCATTGGAAGTTCGCATTTGCATATGAACACATGGTTTTTGTTAGTCTTATCGTCATGCGTCAAGTGCATATCTCATGCACTTAGCAAGTTTAAAAGGATTTCTAAACCCTGCACTCAGGTCCAAAACTTCCTAATAAATCAAATCACTTCAACCTTTTCTGGAAATTACATTTTTATCTGTTGGAGGTGGCTTTCTATGAAGTTAAGTTTTATTACCTCGGTATTTCGACTATCTACCAAGTCGACACCCATTATGACCGACCGACAAGATCTCGTTTGGTCCCATTTCCATTCTTTGTTTGAACCGACCTAGATGTGTCTTGCTCAGCCTCCTAGTCCGACAAACTCCATGACAGAACGCTGTAATTCTCACTTACTTTAAAGAGCCGTTGAAGGCCTTGTTGGGAATCTTGTTGGAGACGTTGCCTATATGTAGAAACCATTTGCTTTAATCCTAGGTACGCGAACACTGTATTTTCTCTCAGATACAACTCGGATTCTTTCTAACTTGGGCGTCGGAGTGTTTTATCTTGCAGGTCTCCTGTTCAGCACGTTTCAGCTCATTCTCAAGGTCATCCTTCCATCCGAGCCCAGCTCGCAAGCTTGGTCATATTGTGATCAACATTTATCTTAGGTTAAATTGAAATCGATCCAAGTCGAGGTCGAAGCCTATGTAAAAGCCAGTTTCGTTGCATTTTTTCTTCGATTAAATCGAACCCGATCCAAGTCGAGGTTAAAGCTTGTGATAAAGCCAAGTTCGTTTTGCATTATATCATTCGGTTAAATCGAACCCGATCCAAGATCGAGGTTGAAGCCCGTGTCAAGTACAGGTCCTTTACATGTTGAGATCCCGTCTA